ATACGTCATCCAAGTAACATGCTCCCCAAACTGCTCACACCGATGCTCCCTCACACTCTGCAACTTGCTATACTTTGGCAACGAACTCCCAACACTCACATGCACCCTCACAACATGCAAACTCCCATCCTCTCCCGCACTCGCAAAACAATGCGTCCCCTCGATCATACACACACACCGCACCGGCGCATGATGCTGCGTATACACATGCCTCGGTTTCGTCGTCACATTCCTCTCCAGCCGCGCCGTGTCCCAGACCTTGACCGTTCGATCGTCCGAGCACGAAACGAAGAAAACGTGGTCGGGAGAGACGGCGAGCCCGTTTATGCGCCCGTCATGTGCGTTCATGTGCGAGATGAGAAGCGCGTCGGGCCGGCGGGAGCCGGTGTCCCTCGAGGAGAGGTGGCCGCGAGGGATGTTGCGTCGTCGGGTCGGCCCGGAGGAGACTTTAGGTCCAAAGTCTTGCATGCCTTCGCGGATGGTGTCCATGTGCATTTGTTCGAGCAGGTTGCTCACGTTTGTTCCTTGGTTCTCTGCGCCGCTCAAAATTAGCCTTGTGGTGACTTTAGAGTGGATGGGGTCTGAACTTACCGAATGCCAGGGAGGAGGGGCCGACGGAGCGCATGCGGGGGCGTTGTTCCCCGCGGACAGTGGATGCGGGGGATGTCCTTCCTGAAGCGGGGATCTCGTTGAATTTCTGCGGGGTCTCGAGTGTCCCAGTAGCTACCGTTCGTACAGACGCCGCAGTCGCAGGAGCGGCCTTTTGACCGTCCTGCACGAGATGTCTCAAGTGTTTACGTCGCGTATCTGGCCCGCCTGCGCCCGAAAAGACAGAAACCGACTCGGACGGGCTTGCTGGAGCAAAATCGAGGCTGGGCGTGTCGGACGCCGGGTCTGTCGCCACGGGTGAGTGCACGCCGCTCCCACTTGCCAGAGAATTTTGTGAGTCTTTGCGGCCCACTACGCGAGGATTTTGTGGGACACCTAGTCCGAGAGAGGAGCCTTCCATTTGACCCAAGTGTCGGCGCAGATCATCAAACGGACTAGACGACCTCGAGCCCACGTCCGTACTTCCCTTTCGTAAGCCCTTTAGCGCGGCGAGATTATGTGGCAAGGGTGTTACGTCCAGTGTAGACCTGCGAGTTGCAGTTGATGTGGCGGCGTAAATGGATGGTGCCTCGCTTACGGCTGCGCGAGTGCCGACGAAAACTGTTTGAGGGACGACGCCGAGTTTTTGGAGTTCGGCGATGGGACTGTGCATGATGTCGACGACTTCGGCCTCGTCTTTGTCTCGTGCTACAAAACTGAAGAATGGTTTAGTGGGTGGCACGAATTGTAGTGGCGGAACGTACCTCTTGATTGCGTTGGAGAGTTTCAGGATGTAGTCCCTCAATGCAACCAGCTTTGCCTCTTCAGCCGAAGACATCCCCAGTTGTTGAAGTTTGACGATTTGAGCGTCGTCCCTGCCCAATAGTTAGAAGGTGGCGTACATCTAGTGGCCTGTATTCTCACTCATCAGACTTCAGCCCGGACCGAGGTAGTCCTCCCGATCTCCTCATGTTAGACACCAGATCCTTCGGAGACTCTTTGGATTTGACTCGAGACGCTTGGCCGCGCCAGAATGCACTCTTATCACTCTTCATGGCCCAAGTAATGGCGGCTTCGAATATTTGACGCGAGAGCTAGGTGTGCTGTCAGTATATGCTCCAAGATAAATGCGTGGTGTACACTCACAGGTGGCTTCAACGTGCTAAGAAGACTTTGCTCAGTGATCGCTCTAACATCGGCTCGAAGTGTTTGACGAAGTCCAGGGTATAATATACACCATACATCCGTCGGTGGCAGGAGTTTGGTCGAAGAAGCAATGAATGCTATGGCGCCTAGAATAAACCGGTCAGCTACGCTTTAGATCAACAATCTTATTGCGAACCTTGCCTAACCCAGACGCTTGGGTGGTACAAAAATGGTACAGTCGCACTCAGTAGCTCCCAAGTGCGCATCTTCTGGAAGAGTCCTAGCTCGGACAAACTTGTGAGAGACGAGAGGACTTTGTACACCACGGTCTCCTCAACGTCTGTCCCAATTCAATAAGCAAACGGTGCGCAAAGGTGAAATTGATGATACACTTACCGGACAACGCCTGAATCATCAGTGGCAAGATGTACTCCTCCAAACTCCGTGCACCAACACACGCGGCAACGCCAACTATGCTCTCAAAAAAGGCATATCGCAACAGCCAATCCCTTCCATTGAGATAAGTGATCATATGACTCAAAAGCACGTCGTTCGTCTTTTGCCGTCCAAAGAACACACAAAGTGAGGAAATGTTGTGTAAGACTGCGCGTTTGACATTACTTGAAGGGTCGACGAGTGCGGTACTGAGAACATCCTGGACGGCAGAGTGAAGGTCCTGGAGACTGGCCTCGTAGGACATCTGCTAGAATGGTCAGCGTCAAGTACGAAATCCAACAACTTATCCACCAACCTCGAATATCATTTCATCCGTGTCTTGAAGATCACTCGACTTGAATGTTCCGTGCGCCTTCAGTGCCTGACTTAACTCTAGGTACTTGGACGCAGTATCCGCTAATGGGGCAATGCATTGCGCAAACATGCACCGGACTGATTCCTCGGGGTCCACTGCCAAGTGCCGAACATTGGGGAATATATACTCTGGGAATATTGATGCATTTGAGGGGGTGATCACCGCTACGAGCATCAACTATGAAATCATCTCGTAAGCAGTTCCTTTATAGCATAGGGTGTAACTTACGACTTGAGTCAATGTCCTCACAGCAGCTGAGCGCACTGTGGCGGCCTCGTCATGTAGTAGATCAACCACGTATGGAACCAACCGGTCCAGCTTGGCCTCGTCAGTCAGATGAACTGCCAAGGCGAGCATCAAATCCAGGGTGCGCAGTTTAGAACTTGGGATTGTGCAGTTCCGGAGATTTGAACAGACAAGCGAAAGTACAATGAGGGCGGGACCATCTGTCAAGGAGCTAGACTTCAGCCACTATAGTTATAACACCAAATCTTAACCCACCCTCAGAAGCCGCTCGTTGATTCTTCAAGAGGCCAGTCTGAAGCCTACTGGTTCGTTTTGGGATGCTCAATTCAACCGGCAAGATATCCTTCACGCCAACAACATAAGCAAACGACATCACAACCATTAGACTTACTCACCTGGAACGGCATAGTCCTATTCCTCGCTGTAATCTTATCTGGCTTCTTCTCCGTCTCCTCCGCGCTGTTGCTCACCAACATATAAGGCTCCAGCATCGCAAAATCATTCCATAACCGATCGATCCGCACATCCGATTCGTTTGGGAGCATGCTCTCGTACGTAGCGACTCCAGCACCTGGCACAGTATTCGCGGTATTCACAGTCGTAGTCGATACGTTAGGAACAGTCCCAGTGGGTGAGACACCAGTAGAGGCAGCGGCGACGGAGGCCGCGTCAGACGAGTTGGGAGTGTTGGCGGGTTTAGATGAGAATACCGAGGGGTTGGTGATTTCGTTGACGCTTGCGATATACTCGTGTAAAAAGGAGTAAAAAGACTCTGGGAACACGGTCCCGCGACATGATTCCAGAGCCGCTCTAAATGATGGTCGCGCAGCAGGCTCGAGTGCAATCATGCTGACAACTAACGCCTGTCGTATAGTTAGATGCGTTCACCTCGAAGCATAAAGTTGGCGTTACGTACCTTCACTTCGGCATCCTCCAGCCCCGCCAGCTGGGCCTCCGGACTAAGCTCCTTAGCCCGATACTTATACAGCTGACTCAACGTAAACGTTGGCGTCCCTTCCCTAAACAACTCCGCGATCACACATCCCATGCTAAACACATCCATCGCCTCCGTCACATCTCCATCCTTCTTACTTTGCCTTTCCCTCTCCGCTTTCTGCGCGGCAATGGCTGACCCGGCTGCGTAGAACCTCTCGGGGGCGATGTAGCATGTACGACGTCCAGAGGAGTCGAAGAAGAGGGCAAAGTCGGAGGGGTCGTCCTCGGGGAGAAAGGTGGGTTTACTTGAGGCAAAATCGGTAATGTAGATCCAGTTGTATGAAGTCACTAGAACGTTTTCAGATTTAATGTCTCCATGGGGAACCTACTGTCTTGATAAGTGGGGCTTGACGACAGCTGGGTGGAAAGTACTCACACCCCGCTCATGCGCCTCTTTCATGCCACACAACAACTGGAAGGCAAACCATTTCTTTTCGATAACGCTCAGAAACGGACGAGTGCTAGAATTCGAGTTAATTGATTGTGGCTACTGACCACACGTCTAACTCACCTAATTCGATCGTAGAGGTTACTAGCTAGCCACTGCCTTATAACATAACCAGCCTTGTCCGACTCCACAAACGCCTGATAAGTATACACGTTCGGCACGTCCATCAATTTGTCCCTATTGCCTATTTAACTTACAATTAGTCTACAAGCCTCTTAGTATCCTAAACCTACGTACTCTTCAACCTCATCCTATGGTCCCTCAACGTCAAATCTGCACTCGTCTTAATAAAGACCTTGATCAACAAAGGTCCATTTCGATGTCGTCCCCGAGCAGTCTTAAGGAATCGCGCCGAACCTATACTATCATTCGATCCCTTAGTTAAGCGTGGCTAGGTATCAGGTGGGTGGGTACGTGCATACCTCTTCTCGTATATCACATCAGGCCCGAGTTCACTCACATAGCTGTCGAGTGCTCCTCCCGGTCGGTTGTTGTATTGGCCAGAGACGCTGTTACCCATTCCAGTGGTGGTGGATGAGATACCACTGCAAACGGTCACGTGTTATGTGGGCTTCACCGCGCAATCGCGCCAAGCATATGCAATGTGGCGCGGCAAATGGTGTTGGGCAGCGCTGAAAAGCTGTTTCGTTTTAGGATGTATCAACGACACAGACGAGGCGCTGTTTCCTAAGCAAAACACTAAGAGAGGGGACAAGATACAGCAGTAAAGCCGTTTGTAAATTAATTGCAGAACTCAAACACAACGGCCCTGTAGTGTAGTGGTTATCACCTCGGATTCTGACATTCGTAGCCACCTTCCGGTAACGGCGGTTCGAGTCCGCCCAGGGCCTGATTCTTTTGGTTTTACCATCTCTCCTCCTTACCCCACCCGTCTATTCATTATTAAATACCCTTCTCGCCTCGATGCCACACGTACCCAAAACAACCTCTCAGTAGATACAGCTGCTTTATCTTGCATCACAATCAAGACACATGAATTCGTTTATGTTTCAGTTTATGTATGCTCAAATCAACAAGCGAGCCCAAGAACACTGCAACCAATGGAGGTGTTAAAGTCCCAGCTAAGCTTTGCTAATGTACACATTCCCAGCAACGATTCATCAAAATAAAATCACGGTATAACAAAGTGCAAGCATATCAAGTTTCAAGTGCATATCGTCCAACGTCGTTCAAGTTCCATCACTAAAGTACTCCTCTGACTCGCTTCCGGAATCGAACTCTGGTGTGTCAATCCTCCTTCGCTGTTGAGAGGACCAGCCCCAGCGAGCTGCTGCTGCTCGTCTCCCCGCAGGTCGGACAGGTGCGTCCGAGTCGGAGGAGACGAGGTCGACAGTGGCGTTTGGGTTGTTCGAGGAGGTAGTGGGGTTGGCGTGAGAGGGATGGTTCGGACCGTCCTCGTCATCCTCATCGTCTGCTTCTTCGGCTGTTTCGATGCCGCTCCTCGGGCGCAGATCGGCCGTGCTTGAGTCTGCCGAACGGCCTCTACGGCCGCGGGGAGGCAAGAAATCGTCCTCTTCCTCATCATCATCGAGGAGCTCGGAATGGCGCTCGTCTTCATCAAATTGTGAATCTTCCGACGATGCACGAAGCGTGACGGGCGGAGGAGACCTGTACCCATCATCTTCATCCCGAACGTCCGCGTTTTCACCCCGGTCTGAATCCGACGCGGCGTAATGATTGAAGTACGCAGCTGGCGGGGGGCGGGGCAGCTCCACATCATCAATAGAGTCGTCCTCATCTTCATCCTCATCGTATGAATCGTACGCCAGCGCACGGGGCACATAAGCTAACTGAGGATAATCGGGTCCGGAGCCGTATACGCTATCTCCTTCGCCCTCGTCGCTGAGTCCGTCCAGGCTGCCGCCAAAGATCGAACCCCCGCCTCCACCATATATACTACCTACGCCGTCTCCGTAGACACTTATGCTTCCATCGTCACTTCCAAATGCGCTTTGGCCACTCCCGCCGTCGGAAAACATCCTGCCGCAGCGAACACATTCGCCATCCCAGATTTCATGGAAACACGACGGACAGCGCAAGACGCCGTCTGCATCATCGCGGAGGGCGTGCCCAGCTGGAGTGGGAGGAAACAATCCTGACCACGGATCCGAAGTAGATCCAGCCGGAGACTCGACAGCTTTAGCCGCGCTAGTACTCGCTGAAGCGACTGCCGGACCCGGTTGACCAACCAGTGCAGCGACAACACTTCCCATACCAAACAACTCGACAGGACGGGAGCGAACAGCTCCGCGGCAATGCGGGCATGATTTGCGTTTATGTTTTTGCCGGTGTGGGGGAAGGGGTGCTGCTGGGTCTCCGTCGGGGTTGTCAATTGGGGGTGAGGTAAACCAGCTGACTAGGCAGGGTTGGCAAGATATGTGGCCGCAGGGGATGACGCTAGAGTGTGTGGCTTGCACGGTTAGCGTTTTGGTCAAAGGGCAAGACAAATGGCTTACACAAATGGACGCCAAAGGGGATCTAAGCAGATAGCGCAATGCATGCTGTTTTGGACAACGTCGAGGGTGGATTCGTGGCGTGAGATTAGCTACGAGCCAAAGAGCTGAGCAACCATGAATGTCAGAGTGGAAGTTGACAAACCTGGGTTTTCTGTTCGAGCTGTTTGCGTAGTTGTGCGACCTCTGCCTGCAATGCAAGTTCCTGTTCGCTGGGTTGTTTGATATCAACGGGGGTTGCTGGAGCATCTTCAGCCAGGGTAGACGGTATACTCTCAGGGACAGACGCGTCGGTCGTGGGTGCGCCATCTTCAAGTACAGGGGCTGACATCTCCAGCGTGGAATTAGACGTGCTCGGGGCAGATGGGTCAACGAGCGTTCGAGGTGTAGCGGGGGTGTTGCCTCGGGATGCTTTGGCTCTCCACTTGCCCTTGTTCTGCCACGAGTACCTAACGCGGTCCGCAAGGTGAACAACGCCGCTAGGAGTGTCGTTGTCGTCGGTAGGTGTGTCGCCACTGATAGTGCCGTTGCGTGGGCGTTTTTCGGGGTGGTCGACCTCGTCCTGAGAGTCAGAAGCGATGCGCCGTTTGGAACGCGTTGAAGCGGCGGGCATCAGCGTAGGAGACGGCTAGTCGTCGCAGATCGCAAACAAAGCCCATTAGGTAAAACTGCCTTATGTCAGCGCGGATTGAGTAAGCGGCGCGCGTCGCCCTCTGCCACGCTTCCTCCCGACGTCGACCACCATGTCCAACTCTGGTGCCAAAGACATTGCTGTACCCGGCAACACCTCCCATGGCAAGACCGCCCCCACTCCGGTCAATACGCCCCTCAACAATGCCCCAATTTCCCAAGGTCAGTACTCCACACCACTGCTAGATGCACAATTGCTCACTTTTATTCAGGCCTCTCTCGCCCAACCATCCCCGACACCATCGATGAGAGCATGTCGGGCGACGAAGACGTCGAAGAGAGCGCAGCCGATCCAACTGCCCAGGCGATCTTCAACCTCGTTCATGGTGCGTGCCTTATCCGAGATGGTCGATGGCATTCACTCAGGTGGCGCAATGACCAAACCCTCGTCGTGTGATTCGCCCGCTGCCCACAGGTCGCCTCGCGGACCTCGTCGGTCGCTCCTCTGGCTATGTCGAGAGCCTGCCCGCCAAGGTCAAGCGTCGTGTCGAGGCTCTCAAGGGTGTACAAGCCGATTACACTAAGCTTGAGAACCAGATGAAGCGTGAGATGCTCGAACTTGAGAAAAAGGTGCGCTCGTTACCAGTTAGGACATTGTCTATGGGTCACTTATATATTATCTACACTCCCTTGACGTCATAGTACCTCGCGCTCGCGACCCCCCTCTTTGATCGACGCCATGAGATTATATCCGGCGCCTCAGACCCCACAGATCAGGAAATCACGGCTGGAGAAGCCGTCACAGCCAAAGACAAGGAAGATGCAGGCGAGGAGGGCGAGCTTGCAGAGTCTATAGCCAAGCTTGCGGTCGCCAAATCAAAGGCTGAGAAGAAAGCGGACTCGATGGACACCGATGAGAAGGATGATGAGGATGTGAAAGGCATCCCGCAGTTCTGGCTTACAACTCTGAGAAATCACGCACATCTTGGGACGGCTATCACCGATCGGGATGAGGAGGCGTTGGGATATCTGTCCGATGTTAGGTATGTTGAGAGCTGACTGGGTTCCCCATATAAACATAAGCTGTGCGCTGACTAGGCCATTCGCATAGGGTGGAATACCTCAAGGAACCCGACTTGGGCTTCAAGATCGTGTTCAAGTTTGACGAGAATCCGTTCTTTGAAAACAAGACCTTGGAGAAATCCTATTTCTATCAGGTCCGTCTTTTTAGCCCCTCACAAAGAACTTTTTCACCTTTAGCCGACAATTATTAATAATAAACATCCATAACAGAAAGAACTCGGATACACTGGCGAGTACCTCTACCAACGCGCAACGGGCACAAAGATCCAATGGAAAGAGGATAAGGACCTCACCAAAACCATAGAAATCAAGAAACAGCGGAACAAGAGTACGGCTTTCCCCGTATTATCATCGTGTATGCGCATACATCTAATACTCCAAAATAGACACAAACCGTACCCGTCTTATCCGGCGCACGCAATCCGTCCCATCATTCTTCGATTTCTTCACTCCGCCCGTCCCGCCTTCGTCTGACCCCGACTTGATCGCCAGCGGCGAAGCTGTCGACGGAGACGAGTTGGAGGAGGAAGAGATGATTGAGCTTGAGGAGAAGTTGGAGCTGGATTATCAGGTTGGAGAAGATTTGAAAGAGAAGGTACGTTTTTACACCCCTGTTTTCCTTTCCTGGATTTGCCTTTGCTCTTGCTGCGTTTTGGTGCCTTTTTTCTGTCTTGAGTTTGGTAACTTTTCGTACTTGGAGTGGGTTTGGGTGGCGAGTCTGAGTGGGGGCGCACGTTTTGCCAGGCCGGGCGAGTCTTTTCTCATGCATGCATGTGATAACGTGGATTGGATGGAACGGGTATGGTGGGTGGTATGAGCATGGTAGGATGATTGGCTCTGATCGGTGGCCGTTGGAATCGTGTGCCGGCAGTCGTGGTTGATGATCGTGTGCCTATCACATCATGGCCAGTTGTGGAAGGAATGGCCATAAGATAGGAAGTCAAGTTGTCTCAACCGACTGGGCGAGCGTTCTTGTCGCCGCTTCCCATTGCACGCGACTCTGCACGGCAGAAATCCATGTTTAAATTTGTTTTGATCTACAAACACAACTTCCACGCCTGCCGATCAACTGCATCCTTCTTTTCTTCCTCGCTCCTATCGCCTGCCACAGGCATGTTTCTAATCGTGTCTAATGCTTTATCCAAACAGGTTATCCCCCGCGCTATCGACTATTTCACCGGCAAGGCACTACAGTACGACCAGGACCTTTCCGAGTTTGCTGATGATGATGAAAGCGAGGTGCGTTCCAACTTGAGCAATTACAAATTGACAAACGAGACTAACGGACTTGTGTTCCTGGATAACCTGCCGATTCACCTCACCCGTTCATGGTACCCGGCGTGACGCGGCGGATTGTAGGGCTCGGACGCCGCATCTGACGATGACGACGACTCGGATGATGCTCCCCAGACACGACGTGCGCCTACTGGCCCCAAGAAGAAGGGCGAGGCCGAGAAGGCAGAGGAGTGCAAAAATCAGTGATTGCTAGGACCTTCACCAGGCGAATAAGATGCAGTCAGGTGTAAGTGGGCGAGTTTTATCTTTAGTTGAGTATTGGGGTGAACTGTGATGCGAAAGTTATGTTGGTGTGGTTGAAAAAAGTATCTATTGATTGAATTTTGTATTGAGTGAGCAGTGTCCGGTGTTAGGATTAGTGAATGTGT